TAAATCTATATTCATCATATGTGATCAATTCAAAAAAAAGCAACCTGTGAAATGCTGTCAAATGGTAACAATGATCCCTTGAATTGATGTAGTATTGATAATAGAACAATACTGATGTTAGTTCCGCTTTTTGGACACTTCGCACGATGCTATTTTGATTTTATTTGGCAACCATTCAAATATCATTGTTTTTCAAAGAGTCGAAATATGACTTTCAACCTCCTAAAATACAAGATTTGGTGACATTTTGATGATGATTTAAACGACATTGTAAGTCTGTAGAAATTATTTGCTGACTTCCATCCCTAACACTGCAGCAGCATCGAGACAACGACCATTTTTTAGATCATAGCCATTATGCGATTTGTGTCAAAGGGCTATAACGAAATTTTTAAACTTGAAACTTGAATTGTATATCAATTGAAGAACTATTTTATGACTTTTAAAAATCTCAAAATCGTTCGGAAATTTTTTTTTCATAGCTTTATCTAATTTTTACAAAATCACTTCATCCATGGGATTAATTTACATGTATAAATGAAAAATTACAAGATTAAAATTGTTAGGATCATATTATGAATTCAACATAATGCTTCTGAAAGTAACCTGCCTGATCAATCATTGATCTTGAGTGGCACGGATACAACGGTATTATGGTGGATGAAGCCGAGCCAAACAACAGAAAATGAAGTCTCGGAAAGGGAAGCAAGCTAATAGTTAGTTCACGCAAATTAGTAGATCCAATTGCCCAGGAAATCGAAAGAAGCTGATCGCTTTAAACATCTCCACTGCAGTTTAAAATATGATCATTATTTGCCAATAAATTTTGTTTTGATCTGAAATGATATCTTCATCTTCAGACAGATTTCTTTATCCATGTGAAAATTTTCTTTTTTTTTTTGGTTCGGTAGAGCAGATTGGTAATCCACGACAATTATAAGTGAAAAGGTTTACTGGAAGGAAGATTGGAAATATTGACAATTAACGACGTCCACAAATGAATACTCCAATTCTTGACTATTGATTGGTAGGAAGTTAAACGAGCCGCTTTGTTCCAAGCAAGAAGTACACACTTAGCTGAGAAGAGTTCCACTTGATCTGCATATACGCCCAATGTTGGGCATACATATACATATAGTGTCCAACGCAACTACATATATATATATATACCTAACACTGAGCAATCATTTAGATACATAATAAGTCAATAGAAAGATGTAGATGTGTAATAAGTCATAAAAGATCATCCGGATGGATATACATGGGATAAATAGATAGTAGATCATGCAGACTTACGAGAGATAATGATTTCATAGTTAGGCAATGTGATGTGATGAAGAGAAGGAAAGAAGCGATGGGGAACGCGGAGATTGCTTGATTACTCGTTAGTTACATTTGTTGTCATAGATAAAAGAAAAGACAGAGAACACGCAATGGCGGGAAATGTTGATAGGCAATAACTGTGAGTGACATTTGAGCAGCACGAAATGAAGAATAATGTGTGATAAGGAATTAAATTTAACACTGATGAGAAGTTGTAGAGAGCACTTCTTTAGCCTAATTATCACTTATGCAGATCTATTCATTTTATATTATAAAGTTTCGAATTTCCCAACAATCCATGATTTAGTTCTCATTTTTCCATTAGGTAAGCTATAGTGGTTGGTGGTTTGAACTTATTCGAATGAGATGCGACACTTCGACCTCATTGGGTATATCTTCATGGATGTTTTATTGCAGGATAATAGTTTGTATGGTACTAAGTTTCACATTTGTTTGGCTACCCTTAATCTAATTAACTTTTCACATGATTTCTATGGCGTTTCCTCACTTTTTTCAATACTACTTGCTTCTTGTCATGTTATTTCCATGACTTCTGCTATGTGGAATCTTGCGATCTACATTTAGTTCAACCCACAATAATGCACTACTAAGACTTTATATCGCTTTGCAGCAATGAACTTAAATTCTTCCCTTCACTTCTTCACCACTTAAAAAGAATATCATCCTAATCTCGTCTCCGTTGTATACGGGAACTGGACTGCATTTTCTAACGTGATTTCCTTGACCTAAATCTCTAAACTTACACTAATATAATTCCTAGCTTCCTATTTTCCTCAATCATTAACACTCTTCAAAATAACGAATTATTCGTAGTTTCATGGGTCTCTCCGTTCTTTTGTTAGATTGCCTACCATTGTCACTTCTCTTCTTTCTTAACATTTGCTACTTTAAAGATTGTAGAAGAGAATAGAAATCCTATTTGAGATTGCATTAGGCAAAGAATCACTGATGATGATGACGGTGGTAAAATTTAGTAGGCTGTTGATGCTACAAGATACATACAAGTTGCTTTTTTCTATTAGAGCCAAATATTTTCATGTTCAAATAATTTATGCTTGCAAAATGAATTAGTTACCAAATTTTGCTTATGAAATATGGACAGATTTTTCTGCTTATCTATTTTACTGGTAGTTCTTACCACTGATTTTTTTCAAAAGTCTAACAATATCCATGTTGAATGGATAAATTAAGAACATTAGTTTTCATGGCTAGATAGATGATCTCATACCAAAAAATTTAGGGCACTTGTTCCCTTTAAAAGTTCAGAAGTTTCACTCGTCCATCTCTTTTTCAATATTATGGCGACAAAGCTCAAGGGAAATCTGAAACATGGAAAGACCAACTCATTAATTTTTTTTATACTAAACAGTTTACAATCAGAAGAGCGCGAAGATACGGTTATAGGTAGTATAAAGCTTAGATGCGAGGCCTTGAATAGTAGGTACTAAGAGCGTCAAAAATGGCGTTCTAACGATAAAGGAGTCAGCAAAACTTCACAAGTTACAGTGTTACTTATTTCTATATCTCATCAGCTGCGTAGTTAATAATGGGACCTGTCAACCGTACAGTGCGGTATATTATTAATATATGCAGCAGAATGATTTTAGATTATTTACCATTGAAAACATTGTTTTGAGAGGATTGTAGAACTCACAACAATTCTTTTGGATTCGCTTATTTCTGTGAATCTGTCAATGTTAGAGAAAAAATGTTATCGTTGATCCACCCCAACAGTTCAGATCATCACTTTTCCCTTTTCCTGCGCAAATTTAGAATCAATGAGTGGTTGGTAGTGCAATTGTCAACTACGAAGAGTGACCATTTTGTGAAGCACCATCTGCTGTCATGGAGAATGAAATGCATCAAAATCTTGCAGGAAATGTCATTAGAGTATGTGATAATTCTTTTGTATTTCTATAGTGTAGCGACGCAGCGAGACTGTCGGCTGATTCAAAGAATAATTGCTCTTCTAAATGGTGCAGGAATGTGAAATGGTTTAAATACATATATGTGAGGAAGGAGAGTAATGACACTTTCATCATTATGAATCTGTCAACTAATTTAGTGATTTTTTATGGATTTCTGGGATAGATAAATAGTAAAATAGTATCAAAGCCGAACAAAAACCAAAAAATATGTGTGTTGTGATCGAATTACTTATATCATTCAATTTGATTTCTTTAGTAATATTTTGATAGGCTGTGAGATTTTTTCATAATTGATAAATTGCATTTAAAAACGATTTGAATATTTTAAACAATAATTTTTTAAAGTGAAACTCTTCGTTGATTATTCCAATTAATTTTTAGTGACTTCATTAAAACAGCTAGTTGTAACTTCTTTTAAGAAATATTATTTGTTGTTCATAAAGGTAAGTGAAATAAACTTGCTAACTTTCCAAGATACATCGCTGAATTTATCACTTTATTCCCAAGCGATGCCGTTAATATTAATTTTTGCACTCTCTACAACTATTCTATGAAATGAGTCAAGAAATGTCATCAATCCGATGTTAAATACCGGTAATCTTATTTGCAGTTTTGATTTTATTGTTAATAAAATTAAGCACTACTGCATAGATCAAATTTGTATTACAATATAATGGTCACTTTAAAATAAAGACGGAAGTAATAATCTTACATGTCTGTATTGGAGGATTCATTACCACATTTCAACCTTTGCATCGTACATATAATAACATGAGTCTTCTATATTGTGTTTAATCGTTAAATATTTTGCTTTAAATTTCGTAGAGTAGCAATGATGATTTAAAGTTTAGAAAGTTATAAAATCTACTGATTAAATATTTGGTTGATTGAACCATCTCCCTAATTCGGTAAAAGAATAGTAATCTGTGATTTCTTAACAAATAAGTTGTACTTTCTTGAAGAAGAATAAAATAACTGGCTAGGGCAGCACAGAATATTTACGGAAATCAAAGTAATTGTTCCACAATCTGTTGTTTGTTATTATTTGTGGTGAGTTTTTTTTTGTTTGCATTTTTAAAGGAGGATTTTTGTTAAGAAAAGATGCCAAGATACTTTTTAGAGTTAAAATTAAGGAACCAAATTGAAACAAAACTACTGACATATTAAATACAGCTACAATAATGCATATATTGTTCTAAGCAAAATTCATCGCATTTCTAATTGGAATTATTATAGTATTAAAAGTGATGATAAAATGCAACATGATTTTAGAGTGAGTGATATCACCGAAAAATCGCTATGGAACTGCCGATGGACGCTTTGTCATCAATTTTCGTTAATCATTGACCTAATAGTAAGTCCACCCATTGCAAAATTCAAATATAAGGAATCATTTTTTTTAGAGCAACCTATTTGACAAAAATGTTTCGCGTGCATTCTATAACTTTTACGACTTCTGCATTAAGCGCCTTTGTGCTATTCATATGCCTTATTGCAATGGTGTATATCAAGAGGGATGTTCAGGATGCTTACAGATCACTGGACGTCGAAATGCATCATTTCAAAGTATAAGCTTTTACCCTACCTGATCTTGTGCTTCTCAGCCGATTTCAATTACTTTAATATTTCAACAGTCATGTCATATCCTAAAGTTTTAAACTCTTTCTCCATTTTTTTTCGATTGAACGACATTCATATTACAAAACGAAATTCTGAAGTGCTTTACAGATGATCACTGATGATTTATGGAATGATCTGATAGTACTTGGGCGAAATCCTCCAAAACTACGTCAAAAGAGACACAATGGGAACGATTCAGACAGTACTCATCAGTCTACTGGTAAATCACTAGTATAACTGTCATTAATTTTAAGTGTTTGAAAAATTTCATCCTCATGCGATTTTAGTAGAATATACTAAATATCTATTTTTTGACTGAGAAGTTAATTCATTTCAAAAAAGACATGAAATCGTTTTCTTAAGAATATTAGCGAAATGGTTCTCCGTTTTAGACTTTCAAGGCTTTATAAATGTTAAAAGCAATTTGCATAACCACAGATTTCAGTTTTTCCAGTCTAGATAGCAATCATACAGTGTAACACTTGTTGGATAATAATTATTTCGTCTTAGAAACCTCCCAGAGAAACAAGACATCACCAATTATTGGTAGTCGACACGATTCTCTCACATCTGATTCATCTGTTTCACCTTCCACCATTGAAAGTAGTATTTTATTGGAGTCTAACAAGTTAAAATCAAATGATGACAAAAACAAAGAATCAGATCAGTTTTTCAAACCACTCACCGACTCACTCCTTTCAAATATAAATGGCAAACAGAGAGCAAAAGGTTTTCCGCCAAGTGCACCGCAATTAGCTGATATTTGCAGTAAGTTTACTTTTATAATTGGCAATAAAATCATTTACATTCATGTTCAATTTTTGTTTTCGAAGTTTCCATGAACCAATTAGATATTATAAAAACATTAAGAGAATTGAAAGAATTATATTTATTCCTCGTGAAAATCACATTTGCATTTTATCTTTTAATCTTTTTTCCTTTAAAGTTATTGGGTGATTAAAATGCCGTATAATATAGCTTAAATTTTTGCTTTCGTTTAATATTAAATCCCGCACTCTCCTGTTCAGAAAAAAATGTGGATAATTAACAAGTAGGATTAGTTGGCAATAAAATATGGAAGATTTCTTCCTAAGATTGGCCTACTATTCTCAGGATATAAACCTAAATTATCATTCCAGTATCACATCCTAAATTTAATAACAAATTTACTTTTTCGTAACAATTTTATCAATCAATCAAGCTATCATTACAGAATGTGCTAAAGAAAACTCATGTCCGGCTGGACTACCAGGTCCGAAAGGTCCACCGGGACATGCTGGATTAGATGGTATACCTGGCACTGATGGACAATCTGGCAAAGATGCTGAAAATATGTCATTGCTTCAACATGAAGCGCCATGTTACCATTGTCCTCGAGGGTTGCCTGGCATACCAGGAGCAGTTGGGAAGCCGGGCTTAAGAGGAATCGCAGGTGCAAAAGGTCGAAGTGGAGTTCCTGGAAGAAATGGACAACCAGGACCACCTGGTGAGCCTGGACTGGTAGGACCGGTAGGTAAGTGCAGTAATCGTTTTATTGAAACGGAGTGCTTTGTTAGTTAATTAATTATATGTGCCAAAAATTGATGAGGCAATTTATTCAGTATTTCATATCAAAAATTTTTCTTGGGATATATTTTTTGATGGATTTTGGGCATCTCGTGCTTGCAAATTTGAGAAGATAGTTGAGTTTATTCATTTTTATGGTCAAATATGGTAATACTATAATTTACAGCAATCTGATTTCAGGTAAAGATGGTGAAATGGGTCCACCAGGCTCTAAAGGTTTAGACATGCACCATTTAGTTGGTCGTTCTGGTCCGAAGGGATCAAGAGGACCACTAGGACCAGCAGGACCACCTGGAGACAAAGGTGCTGAGGGACAAACTGGTAAAGCTGGTCCACAAGGTCCGCCAGGAAACCCTGGATCTGCTGGCCCACCTGGTCCTCAAGGACCAATGGGATCTGAAGGTGAAGAAGGCAGGCCTGGGAAAGATGCCGAGGTGCTCCTTTTTTTGTTCTGAATTCAACTAATTTCGAAATATTTGAGTTGTAATATTGCTTGAGAGTCACTGCTTTTTCGAAGTTAATCTTCAAAATAGAGCGATTACTTATTTTCAGTACTGTCCATGTCCACCTCGCCGATCCGACAACACGTATCATCGAAGCAAAGAACACAAAGCAATAGCTACGTTACATAATAACTACGATGAAAACAATGGGAAGTCGATCAGTGATGGCTCTCCCTATAAGAAGCTGTGAAACTCATCCACTCCTAACATTTTTTTCTTTCGACATTGATATTTTTTAATTACGCATACCTTTTTGTATTCACTATACGAAAAATTTTCGCATAAATTGTTATCATCAGTGTAACGTATTCTTAAACAATATAACATTTTTGTTCAAAAAAGAGATTGCAGATTGATAGACATATTAGATAGGACTCGTTTCCAAAAAAGCAGGAGGTTTCATTCCACTCTACACTTTTGATTAATTATTACTCTCATGGCATATGTGCAAAAGAATGCTATCCCTTCATTAGACATAGTTTTGAATCATTTGTTTGCCATATTTGAATATCATAACTGCATATTTAACTACTTATTTATTTCATTCTCATCACCAGTATTGCATTTCACAATTCTGAAACATCTACCACTTTCCCAATCCAGTTTTTTTCCTGTTAGCCATTGCAAATATTGCGAGAATTGCGGAACATCATTTTATACATAATTTCTGCTGCACTGATAAAATACAGTCAGGAAATTCACTCTTTAATTGCTACTGTTATAATGTTTTTGGACATTATGCTTAATAAAAACATTCAAGGAAAATTTTAACGCATTTTTAGGTTACGACCGACCATTTCTATTGAATTTAATAGGCCTTCTCCATTACAGCTTTTGACAGATTTAAATGCTTTTTTCAAATATTGAAGAAGTGATTTTGCATTCTGTTTAATCTGAGTCAAAATTACAATGATTAGTACTTAGTTTTTTAGTGTCGTGAAGTTATTTTTTCAGAAGTTTTCAAACTCCAACTTCGAGAATCTGGTTTATAACCATGAAGCTTCGCAGGTAACATTAAAAGTATACACAGTGATAATTCCAACGTAGGGAAAAAAAATTTTTCCAACTGCAACGCATTCCTCACTCATTTTTCTTGGCAATCCTCTTCCGATAAATCGCCATTTGCAAAGGATATTTTACAATCTACACAAGTACTGATATGGAATATGCTCTATTCATTGTTGATATTTTCCAGATCGACAAGATTAGGAAAAAACTGTTAAGAATCTATGAAATTGACAATATGAGGTGATAAATATGCAGTGATAAACTGCGTTGCATATTCTCTATCCTTTGAAGTAGCTGTTGGAGACAAAGACGGAGCTAAAAGCCATTTTATGATATAAACAAAATGACAATGAATGAGAATGCGATGAAATTATGCATTTCAACGTATCACATACACCAGGAGGATGAAAATCTTCATGACAATAAATTCACAATTCTTTATATGCTCATTTTTGATCAGAAAGTACTGGCAAATAATTTAAGCCAAAAGCCAAAAAAGTCTTCCTGTTATACCTTCAGTAGGTGCTTTTTAGGAGCAATGTCAACATCCAAATATATTATCAAAGAAGTCGCATAAATCCTTTGGAATTTCGAATCACCTACTTAATGTTCATCAGTTAATCACAGAATCAAGCATTAGCTACTGCGAGATGCAAAAAGTTTCAAAAGAATAGCTGTATAAACACATCACCCCTTTTTGATCCTATAAACATGTGTTAACAATACTGTTCCGAATTTCATTCATGAGAAAAATGTCATTAGAATTTATTTTTAGGATGCTAAAAAAGGCATAATTAATAAGGAAGGGTACATGAAGTGATATTTATCATGCTTTTATACAGCATCTTCTATAATAAAATGTTCAGAGGGGTAGTTGGAATTGCTTGACGTAAATGTGTTTCTTACATCTCAACTAAAAAAATTTTTTTTTTTTTTGAAACTTGATAGATCTCACCAAAAACAACAGAAATAACGCAAACTTCCTGTTCTATAATCATGCCATAAAATTATTTTATTACCAAAGTACCTCAAGAAACACCAATCTAGTATACCAATCCATTTCGAATTCCATATTTTCATCACCCTAACAAGTGCTAGCTAGCTACACTACCACTACAGGCTTGAAATATTATTAATTGGAAGATTTAAAATTACAAAAATATGCCAAACTTAATTTCTTTCTTAACCCGATCACAATACAGTTTAAACCTGTTGAAAACACGACATCGATTGATAAAGCTAAGTTTACGGATAACACTGTCAATTTTGACAGAAGTTGTTAAAGAAGTATTAAAAAAAACAGCCAAATTATTCGAGAGAAAGCAAAAATAATGCTGACACAACAGATAATCTGTTTGAACGGTAATGAAATCAACCATGAGTTGAATGTGAAGTGCCTGCAATAAAACAATACAATGATCAGAGAGACAAAAAACTCAAGGCATATAAATGTTGCTATTCCCCAAAAAAAATTCGAATAATGGTGTTGATGAAAAGCTACGAATTACTGAAAGTTATGGTAGTTTCACCCTCATACTGAAATTGATATACCTTACAAGAAAGCTACCTTAATTTTGTAATACATTAAAAGATGGCCTTCTGAGAGTTTTGTTCAATCATTCATGACGTACTACACTACTACACATCTATAATCTGAAGTTGCTATAGCTCTCAGAAAACAAATAAGATACAGTAGCTAAAACTTTTAAAAATCAATTGACTCACAGATAAAAAACAAAATCATAGAAAAGTAATTAGCTCTTTTTAGAAATTTAAGACAAGTTCAGCTTATCGTTTTATCACCTGATACATTAACAGTGAGTAGAAGAATATAAGTAAAAGTTGTGGTGGATCTTTTCTTATGAAAACTATTCGATGAAACGTATATAAAATTACTGAACTTTTGCAAATTTAAATCCACACTTTTTTTGGAATTTTAAGTAAATTGATATGGTATAAAGCAGAACAAAGACAAATATATGTTTGGGATTTTATTAATTTACATATAAAACTAAAACTCTTTTCTCCTGTCTTCCTGTCTGGCGCTTGAAGTGGGACTACGAATAAACTGTTTTCAGGAGATAATCGGCCAATTAATGATTAAGATGAAAATTACTAAAACTGTATTTGTCACATATAAATCTCTAGAAAAAATTTTATGCGATTCTTCACATAATTTTAAAAAAATACGACGCGGTTCTTAATATAATTTTTAGTATTTTCCTGCATTCCAAACTTCGGTTTATGTCTGTTTACGTTGTGGTATTTTATTTTAAGCATAACATTATAAAATTCTGCTAATATCCGGCAAGATCGTGATCATATCTTTCCCACACTGCACTACTTATATGCTTTACTTACTATTAAATAAGATGCTAACACCAGTTTGGACAAAACCTAGCATTTACTGTAGTACAAAGTTCGAAAATTCAAAATAGTCTATGTGTTAAGTTTCTGTGTTCTTCATAACTGAAGGACCAGTAATGAACTTTGATGACAAATATCACGTATGGATGTAAATGAACATGTATGCATGCTTCATAAAATTGATGTAGAAACATTTGAAAAATGTATGACATTAAGAATAAGTACCTGCAGACGATGAAGGAGCACTGCGATGAAGTGTTGTTCGCGTAACGTTGCCTTCAACATCCACAGTTTCAAATGCTTCTTCACGTTCTAAATCACGTAGCCGATGTTCATTTTCAGTTCCAGTAAATTGTACGTGACTAATAATTGGATCAGTGACACGAGTTAGAACCCTCCTTGAAATTATTTCTGTAGAACCATCTTTGTTGATTTGCATCGTTTCAAACGTTGTTAGCGTAGTGGGATAATCATGAAGCACAGAGTCCATATCACCAGCTAACGAATCTTTCTCTTCATCCTGATCTTCATGATATGTATCACCACTCAACACTGCTTGCCTGTCCTGGCTTATCTCTCCTACGCTGGCCTCTTCCAGCACAGAATCCTTGTCCTGAGGAATTATTTCAAGAGAATCATGCATATCCTCGTGTACTTTTTCAATGACTTCATATTCAGTTAAATAACTTTCACCATCTAAATCGTTCTGTTTATATATTGGTAGAACATTAATTTCTAAGGAATCAATGCTCGTTCCCATTGCTTCCGGAACAAAATTTTCAAAATCCCTTTCAATGCTGTCAGTTGGTGAAGCCAATGGTGTTGCCACTTGGGTGTCTTCTTCAACTGGTACTGCTTTTATATCCGAGATGGAGTCGTGTTCATCTTCTTCATCATCTCTTATACTCATTTCTTCGACTTCCGATTCTTCGCGTATGTCGGATAGGATCATTACTTCATCTTGTGGAGAACTTTCGACTACGACCTCTTGCTCCAGTCGCTCAAATTCAGCTAAGGAACTTGTTGATCCATTAGATGTTTTCAACTTTCCGACTACGTACAGTTCTACTTCACTTCCACTAAGACTTGATTCACCTTTGTTTAATACGTCCCGCTCAATTCGCTCAAATTCCTGTAAACTCGTTTCAGAGACATTATCGCTTGAAATTGTTTTGTATTTCCCAACTGTCACACTGATATCTGTTCCTTGACCATTTGAAGATAGGCTTTTTCCATTCAATGAATCCGCTTCTTCCGGTTCTTCGTCCACCGTTTCTAATTCAACTTCTACCGGATTAACTTGCTCGCTTTCTGACATAAACGTTGGATATTCCTCAGATGACGACAATGAGGACTGCTTAGCCGATCCCACTTCCTGATCCTTTTCTACCCACGACATTTTCAGCTCTGGTGTAAGTCGTTCAACAAATGTTTGTGGCTCATCGTAAGAACTTTTTCGAGAACTGGTGCTACTTCGACGTGACGTGCTATATTTCTTACCACTGCTCCCGCTTTTAATTGATAACTTATCAAGAGAATCCAATGAATCAGATTCGGCACATAAAACTGCTTCAAAGCGCAATGCAGTTTCATCTTCTTTTTCAATTGTATGAACAGTACTCGTTTTCTTTTCAGTAGATAGATCTGAGTATTGTGGGGAATATTCTTTTCCAAAATCCATTGCTTTTATATGCATTGATTCTTGAAAGGTTGTCGAATCAGGCACTTCTTGTTTCCACGATGAAAATGTCTCGTCAGCAAGGACGTCGTCTCCTGGAGCTTCTACAATAGAATCGAGAACTTTGATTTCCACTT